ACTAGCCATTGACGGCCAGCTCTGGCCGCATTTGTTCGTCAACGATGGCCAAAGATACGGCCATCGTTGATGGTCAACGATGACCATATGTTGGCCATCGTTGACGTCTAGTTACGGCCAAAGATCTGGCAGTCAACGGCCAGATCTTTGGCTTTAGATCTGGCCTTTTTTAGCCAGATCAGATCCACCGTGGATCTGGCCGAAAAAAGGCTAGATCGACACACTACCGGCTAGATTCAGCTGGTAGTGCGCCATTATATCAGATTCTGGCCAACTTCTGGCAGTGGTGGCCGGAATCTGGTATAATGTGGATTTAGGGGTGTTTTTGCAATTTAAAAAAAATATTTAGGGGTATTTAATTAAATTAACAAATTTAGGGGGTTTAAAAAAAGTTGAATAATATTGGATAATATTATGAGTTTTTGGGCATTTTACTGTTTAACTTTTTTGGGAATACTAATAATAGTATTCTATTAGTATTCCCAAAAACCAACCAAACGGAGCCTAAATCATTGTCTCAAACAACTTTAGATAAATATTTTATTTCACCTTAAACCTTTAATGTAACATATATATATATATATGATATTTTTGTCCAAATAATTAATTAATGAGGTTAAAGAAGCCATTCAACAAGTTGGGTTAATTGTTATTTGACATCAAAATGAGGGCAATTGTGTCCAAAAATTTTATTAAATAAGAATAAAATTAGAACAAAAATAGGATTTCTACCCTCTGACTCGGTGATCGCATAACCTCTATATCACCTCTCATATTACTTGAGTAATAAAAGATTATTGGAATCTTTTATTACTGGTTGAATTAAACGAGATAATGACCGGATTAAAAGATATCCTACAACTGTATTTTTCTCATTTCGTTTTCGCACAGATACCCATTTGTACCTTACTAGCATTACATCTTTAGATGTTCTAACTTCGAACTACAGGTCCAAAAACTCTACATTTTTCTAACGAATTCAGTTCTGTCTTGATTGCGTCCTTCCATTTTGGCTAATCTTCACTTTGTCTACATTCCTCAACAAATTTAGGTTCAAGATCATCATTATTATTTACAATATCAAGCGCTATATTGTATGCAAAAATATTGTCGACAATTATTTCTTTTAGATTCCATAGTTTTCTTGTAAAGACATAATTTATTGAGATCTCTTCATTCTTACTAGTTTCAGGTACCTGAACTTCTTCTAGAGTTTCATGATTAATTATGTCTCTATTCTCTTCATGAGAACTTGCCTCCTTGATGTAAGCATCTTGGTCATTTGCTACTATTTTCTTTCGAGGATTTTTATCTTTGGAACCAACTGGTCTACCACGCTTTAAACGTGCCTTAGATTCATTTGCTACAGGTAATTGTCCTTCAAGGACAGCAATCCGAATTGGAGCATTTGCAACTGGTATGTGAGATTTAGTCACTCTTTTTGAATTAGTAAATGTGTTTGACAACTGATTTGCTACATTTTGCAAATGAATAATCTTTTGATCTTCTTGTTCACATTGTTTAGGATGAGGATCAAGATAAGATGATGATGATATTTTCCAAGTAATTTCCTTTTCCAGTTGCCTATTTTGTCCCCCTAATGCTGGAAATTTTGTTTCATCAAAATGACAATTGGCAAATCGTGTCATAAATAAAATCTCTTGTTAATGGTTCTAAATATTTAATTATAGAAGGAGATTCATATCCAACATATATTCCCAATCTTCTTTAAGGACCCATTTTAGTGCGTTTTGGTGGAGCAATTGGAACATATACCGCACATTCAAATATTCTTAAATGAGAAATATTTGGCTCTTGACAAAAGTCAATTGTAAAGGGGAGAATTTGTGATAACTTGTTGGCCTAATGCGTACAAGTGCTGCTGCATGTAAAATATTATGTCCCCAAGCAGAACTTGGGACCTTTGTTCTCATAAGTAATGGTCTAGCAGTCAATTCGAGGCCTTTAATAAATGATATCTACTAGACTATTCTGTGTATGAACATGGGCAATAGGTTTTTCAACCGTTATTCCGATTGACATACAATAATCATTAAAAGCCTAAGACATAAATTCACCAGCATTATCAAGACGTATTTGTCTTAATTGTATAATCTGTAAATTGTGCTCACAATCGAATTATTTAGGAGAGTAATCTTGCAAACGCCAGGTTGCGAGTAGATAATAAACACACATGGAACCATCTTGTTGATGCATCTACTAAAACCATAAAATATCTAAATGGTCCACATGGTAGATAAATAGACCCACATATATCACCTTGAATTCATTCTAAAAATGTAGGAGATTTAATCCCAATTTTAGCTGGTGATGGTCTAATAATTAATTTATCTTGAGAACAGGCAGCATAAGAGAATTCATTAGATTGAAAAATCTTCTGATTTTTCAATGGATGTCTATGTAAATTCTCAATGATTCTTTGCATCATTATTGAACCAGGATGGCCTAACTGATCATGCCAATTAATACAAGTATTAGGATCAGTAAACTTCTGGTTTACTATAAAATGTGTTTCAAATACACTAATATTTTGTGTAGTACAATCTGGAAGAAAAAGCAGATAATTTTTCTAACACACATTTATTGCCTATAATTATTCTTGTAATATAAAGATATTCAATATTTCCTTCATTGGTTCTCTCAATATGATATCCATTACAGCGAATATCTTTAAACTTAATAAGTTTCTTTTAGACTTGGAAGAAAATAATGCATCTTTTATAATAAACTGTGTTCCTCCAATCAATTATTTATTAGCTATTCTAGAGCCTTCAATCAATCTTGTACTACCAGATATCGCATTTATGTTAGCTTCACACATTATCAAAGAAGAAAAATATTTTCTTTCTTTAAGTATAGTGTACGTTGTAGCATTGTCTACGGACAAAAATCTTCATCATCAATCTTGGATCCAATCATAGACATGGGAATGTCCATTTTTCTTTATTCAAAAACAAAATACATAGTAAGGCATATTACAAAGCCAACAAAACAATGTAATTTATCTAAAATTGAATATCACACTTAAACATATTAAGGGTAAAACACTCATTAAAAGTAAAATACTCAACTTAAACATATTAAAAATTAAACACTCGCAAAAACATAACTTAAATAATTTTGGACATTTCCATCCCTAATTAAATGATCGATTCTCCCTTCAGGATTTTTGAAGAAATCTACAACATCCAGATGTGTTATATCAATAGGTCCATGATCAAAGTTATCATCTTGATAAGCAAAATTTGCTTCTCTATTTTCATTTTGGTAGGCAAAGTTTGCTTTCATATTTGTCTCTTTTTCTTTCAACGATGCTTGATAAAGTTCAACAAGATGTTTAGGCATACAACAAGTATGTGACCAATGTCCTTTCATGCCACATAGATAGTACATATTTTCACCAAGACCCATAGCATCTAAGTGAATTTCAGCATCAAGAATCCATAACAAATAATTCTTACCCATAATATCAAGAGCCACAAATTCAAGTTTCGTAAGATTTGTCATGACGAAAACTGGAAAAGAATATTTAATAAATGAGACAATCTCTAATAAAACGAAAATATTATCACAAATAAGAATTTAGAATAACAATAATGAATACACAATTTATTAAAGTTATAGAATTTAATCATTTAAAAACATAAATCATAAAAGCAAATATTTACAAATATATGTCTTTTTTTATTAATCAAATTATAAATCTATCACTATATAAAGTCTTGTTTATAATGAAACCAAAATGTTCCAAATTAAAACACTTTCATATATTTTATACTTTAAAAATGATTAAACATTCCAACATATTTATAAAACATATTAAGATACAAGCAAAATTGAATTTACTTACTTGGTAAATGGAAAACTCCAACTCCAAATTTGATTAGGGACAAAAGCTTGAAACCTGATGAGAATTTTTTTCCCTTGACAAGTTGATATGGTTAGAGACTAGTACTAATAACTTATTATAAAATAAACTAAAAGAAGAACGAAGATAATTGAGGGGAAATAGAACCAATACTTTTCTATTCTAAAGTTGAGTGTACATCATCTTTCACAATACCTCTATTTATAGTCTCAAGATTAGACCTAATAAACGGGTGAGTCGAGTAGCTACGCATAGTGGGTAAAACAAGCACGGGTCCACGGGTAAAATTTTTTATGGGTCGGGAAATACATGACCCATACCCCCTCATATGGCTACGAGTCGACCCGTAGGTCACCTATTTCCCACGTATATTTTCACATTTTATTTTATTTTTTTCAAATAAAAGTAACGCATCTCCATCACCCTCTCTGCAAAAGTCCTTCAATCTTCTCTATTCGCTTCCCAATAAATTTTCATCTTCTCTTTCCTTTTCCCCATAAATTTCTTAAGAAGAGAGAAGATAATTGCGGGAAAATATAAAAGTTGTCCAAATAATTAATTAATAAATTTTCATCTTCTCTTTCCTCTTCTCAATATATATATATTGACATTTTTGTTCAAATAATTAATTAATGAGATTAAAAAAGTCATTCAACAAATTGGGTTAATTGTTATTTGACATAAAAAGAGGGCATTTGTGTCCAAAAATTTTATTAAATAAAAATAAAATGAGAACAAAAATAAGATTACTATCCTCTGAGTCAGTAATCGCATAACCCCTATATCACCTTTCATATTACTTGAGTAATAAAAGATTACTTGCTGAATTAAACAAGATAATGACCAAATTAAAAGATAGATTACGAGTAATCTTCTTATAACTCTAAACATAGGCAATATGCCATATTTTAGGTTTACAATGAATTTATTTGCTTCGGCATTATTTGATCAAAATCAAGCTCGGTAAGGTTGCGGGGTCAGTTATTGCCCTTAGATCATGGGGTAAGGTATCCAAGGGCTGGCAGTGGAGGCCGAATTAACAATCCCCATTATTTGGTTTGCTTAAATCTGATGATCTCAAAAATGCTGTGGAACCAGAAGGAACATAATATAAAAGATGAACACAATAAGAGAGTTCAATTTTATTTATGTAAGCATAACATACAAACTGAAGAAACAAATTCAAATTCAACACATCGCTGACATTCGCACATTATCTATGGCATAAATAGCTTTTATTATAAGAAACTCATAACACACCAACTTATTTAGCATAGTCTAACTGGTGGCAAATTACTGTTGGGCCTGCAAGGAAGAGAAACTTAGCTTTCAATCTAACAAAATCAGATTATAAAGGTTAAGGCGTGGGCTGGTCTAAGGATAGTACCTGGAAGTGCTTCTTGTAAAATTCCACCAGCTCTTTTGGATCTGTTTTTGTCTGCTTGAAGGCATCAATCTTGTTCAGCTCCTGCATAAGGATTTTTTTTTTTTAAATAAATGATTATAACTATCTTAAAATATAGTAATCTCTTCCTGCACAATTGGGAAAGAACGTAAAAGGGCTTTCCAACATACCTCGATCCATGATGCTAGTTTTGGCCTACCCTCTGTAATGTCATACTTGTATACTTCTGATAAGAAGATCTGGAACCTTTCAACAAATGGAATATAGGCTATGTCCGCCTGACGATCACATAAATCCATTTGTAAAACAGAATGATACTCGAATCATATAATTATAATAATAAACAATTTCAAAAACAACTTCTATGCCTACTCAAGCTAACTTAATTGAGAAGTTAACATACCAAACTAAACTGACCAAGGAAGAATGGGCCATCATCAAATTTCTTAAGAGCATTTTCCAAGTAATCGAAAGCGGCACCTGTTCCAAGTTTCTAAATTTTTTAGTTCAGTTTATATACACAAACCCCAAACCATGGAAATACGACATATTTCAAAACATACCAGCTTGTTTTACAGGGTCTCCTTTGAATGAAGTATACACATCCCTGTTGAATGTATCAGTGTAGGATAACAATTCTTCACCAAACTTCTTTTTTTCAGGATCCTACAATATTTTCATAACATTACTTCAGCTGAAGTTAAGAGATACTAAAGTTTCTATTAAGAGCAGCAATGAAATATGCACATCTTATAAAAATATTTTAAAAAAGGATGCACAACTTACATCAGGGAAAAGAGAAGGTCCTTCAAAGTTGCTGTCAACATATTTAATCAAGTCAATACTCTCTCCAATGATTTTGCCGTTGTGCTCCAGTGCTGGAACCTATAAATTAGAACTTTAAACGGTAAATACTTCAATAGTCCTAACAATTACCTCAGTCTAGCATAAAGACTAAAACATACCACCTATAATTTAACTAATTTTTTTTTTTTCCTTGTAACCAAGAAATTCCAACTCAATACAAAGAGACCATTTTTCATGACTATGTAAATCAAAGCATAGCAATAAGATTCTGCCTCCTCTTTTAAGTATTGGACCTTGTCATCGCATCTGATTCAGGGATTTCTTCACACAGATTATAAACATTTGAAATACAGCCATACACAAACACAAATTACCCTTCTCTTTTTTAACCACTTTGCTCACTCAGAAACTCTAAACTTCCAACTATTGTTCAAAACCCTCCCATTTTTGTCATGAGAACTTCTTGGAAAATTATTCTTACTAACAAACTCCAAATCATAACTCATGCCAAGCAATTCCATATAAACAAACTATATCAGTCATGGACTTAGCCGATTCATCAACTTTACTAAAGCTAACAATTTCATTCTTACATAAAGATACCTTTTGTAGTATTGAGTTCATCACTATTATGACCGAGCCTCATACCAACAAAAAAGAATTTGATGTTATATTCCCAACAAGCGGGAGGATACTAGTACAAGCTTGCTCATTTCTTGAAAATGATTTAAAATTCTATTTATCCCTTATTTTATGCTTAATAATTGTTGTTATGCACTTGTGAAAATTAACAGAACATATTCATGAATCATGTCTGTTGAATCATGGAGACTCCGTAATAGAAATCTATCAAATCCACAATAATCAACAAAAGAAAAGGTAAATGTTTTCATAAACAAATCACCTTGTTAACACGGTAAACTTTCTGTGCATACCAAGCAGGCCTGTCTTGAACGTTTAATGGAACTAACATAATCTTGTCTTGCAATCCCTGCCGCCCAACAGATTCCAAAGAAATCAGTGAGAGAAAATCAAACAAATAATTCCAGACATGAAAAATAAGACAAAGAGATCATTAAAAAGTCAAAAATGATTAAATAACCTTATAGTTTCTGGTGATCCACACTCGTTGGGCAAATGGACACGTGTAACAGGTGTACAGCCTTAACAAATAAAAGACAACACATATAAATCAAGTTAAAAAATAAAATTAAAAATTGAACCCCGAATGGCACAAAAAGAAACTCAAAAATCCTCAAAAATAAAAAAATGTGAAACCTGATGGTTCCATCAAAGAGAGGTGGCTGCTCGGCCTTAGAATCCAGAACTGGAGGAAGATTTTCTTGCACACTACCAATAAGAAAAGAAGATCATAATTTCATCATATTAGCGATCATAATTGCGAGATTGAAGAGAAACAAAGACGTAAAAATGAAGTTGAGGAATGAGAAATTCTTACGTGGTAGCCATTTTGGTTAAGTCTCTGGTATGTTCGGAACCTTTTGGGTTTTTAGAGCTAATTTGATACTGAAATGGTTCTATGTGGAGAGTGAGCCATCTGCGCGGGGGTTTATTATATAGGAGATTTTAAATGAAGTTAGATCCTGTGAAGTCGCGAGCAGTGACGTATCACGTATTTAACTTTGTCATGAATTAATCAAGTCAAAGAAAAAAATTCGACGGCCGTTGTCTCGTTGATCCTTTATTATACGTAAGAGATTATGATTGTATTCGTCAGCCATGACTGTTGAGGATGTGTTATATGGTTCTCGTCTATTTAACTATTTCTTTTATTTTAACCCAGCAAATTAATTTAAAAAAAAAAAAAACTATTGGGCTAAAATGACAATACTCCAATCACGTGAAGATTGATATTATGTATTGCCAAATAACATCACGTATTACGAAAAGCTAACAACCAGAAGTGATTAATTAATGGTTTATTTTAGGTAGCGTTCGGTTCAGAAAATGTTATATTATTGAGGAATATTGTATTACAGGAAAGATGGATTATTAGAGAATTTTTAGAGAAATGTATTTGGTCGATTGGAATAAATTGATGGGTATGTTATAACAATATGTTTGGTTGGGAGGATAAATAAGTGGGTATGTTATATAGATTACTAAATTGTCCTCATTTTAAAATAATAATATAATATTATTTTTATTATTATTTTATTCTATTATTTTTTAAATTATTTTTTAACCCCCCTATATTTGAAATTTTACCAAAACACCCCAACCATATACAACTTTAATTTGTAGCAAAGTCACCCCCACTCACCACAAACCACTGCCGGCAGCCACCACCACCACCAGAAGCTGTTGTAATGGTGCACGACCAGCCGGATCTGGCTAGTCATACGCCGATCAAGCCTAATCCGACCAGATCTGGCCGTGAATATGGTCGTTTCACGGCTAGATCTGGCTGTTAATATGGCCATTTTACGGCCAGATCTATGGTGTTTCACGGCCACATCTTTAGCCTTGAAACAGCCAGATCTGATCGTTTCCATCCATGGATCACAAATCCATGGTCAAAAATGTCCTTATCGGCACACGACCGGCAAGATCCTACCGGTCTTGTGCCGATATGACGACTTTCGCCGGTGGCCAGCGGTGGTGGCTAGCGGCCGACGGTGGTCTCGGATGATTGGGGGTATTTTATTAACTTTTAAACTTTTTTGTGACGGGGGTGTTTTAGCTAAGTTCTCAAATGTAAGGGGTCTGGGCTAATTGTTATTTGGTAGACATATGAGGGCAAATGTGTCCGGAATGATAAAATATTAAGGGCAAAATAGGGTAAAAATTATGATTATCCCGGTAATCTAACATTAACACCCCCTAGGAAGGTAATCTGATTACCCCCAATATTACCAATAGTAACCACTATTTGCAATAAAATATTACTGTAATATTATATTACTTGACAACCAAACGAGGTAATTTTGAAAATTAAACAAAGATTACAGAATTTATCTTATTTCACCCCGAACCAAACGCACCCTTATTCCAATCTCGCCATGAATCAAATCTGTAAATGTTATTATAATTCGGTTGTAACAAATTGCAATAAACCTTGAGGGTGAGTTTGGTTGGGAGTAATGTTGGATCACTAAGGTTGAGATTTAGAGCCATTTGACCATTTTCGGCCATCAATATAGTCGAAAACGGCCATATCGGCAACTCCCAGTTACGATTTTTTGGGATTTCTGACAACTTCAGGCGGCAGTCGGGGGTGGTGGCTGGCAGTCGGCAATGGCTTGGGGTGGTTGGGGGTGATTTTATCATAAATTAAAGTTTTATATAAGTTGGAGTGTTTTAGCTAAATCTGAAATGTTAGGGGTTAAAAAAAAACTATTCAAAAATTAATAATAAAAATAATATTATATTAATATTTAAAAATAACGGCAATTTAGTAATTTAAATAACATATCGACCAATTTATTGTAACTAACCAAATACATTTCCATAAAGATTCTCAGTAATCTTCAAGGTAATCTAGGTTGTGCTTGTTTTATTATTTTGAGTAGGATTTTTGAAAAAGTTAAGTTGGGTTGTTATTACGAGGTAGGATTTGAAAATTAACAAAAAAACTCCATAGGTTTGTTAATTTAGCTAAACATTCCCTATAATAAAAAGTTTATAAATTGATAAAAACACTCCCACCCACCCACTTTTGCCAGATTTCGACCACCACCATCAGAAGGTGATCGGAATTTGGCGAAATGGCACACTACCGACTAGATCTGGCCGGTAATACATCGACTTAGCTTTTTCTGACTAGATCCACCATGGATTTAGTCGAAAAAGACCAGATCTACAACCAGATCTGGCCATTGACAGCTAGATATGGTCGTCGTTGACGACCAAATGTGGCCAAAAATTTGGCCGTAGATCTGGCATTTTCTGGCCAGATCCACCGTGGATCTGGCAGGAAAATATTAGATCAATGCACTACCAGCAAGATCCAGCCAGTAGTGTGTTATTACACTAGATTCCGACTACCTTCCGACGGTGGTGGCCGGAATCTGGCAAATATGGGTGGGTGGGGGTTTTTTTTGTCAATTTATAAACTTTTTTTTGCTGGGGGTGTTTAGTTAAATTAACAAACTTGGGGGTTTAAATATAGTTTAATAGAATATGATTGGATTTTCAGAATAGGGAAACAAATATGTATTTTGGGTAGGATAGGGCAAAAATAATAAGACAAACGGGCCCCTAACTTTCCGTTAATATAACATTCCTAGTAACCAACATTCCTTAAACCAAACACCCCGTGAAAATTAATTGGTTGGAGTTGGAAATTATAACCTTTTTTGCTTGAAAATTGTTTCACTTCACGGAATCTAAATAACAAAGTCAGAATGTTTTTATGATAGTAATTCCTGAATAAATTGAAGAGCAAGTCATGTCCAAATACTTTTTGACCCCCTATCTACCGTGAAACATCCTTCCCCACCCACCCCCTCAGGAAATACCCATATTACCCCATTTTTATATATAAGGGTTAAAAGTTAAAACTTAAACATGGAAGGGCAATTTTGTCAATTCATGTCATATATATAACATCATAGAGATAGAAAACCTAATATAACAGTATTAATTGACAACATTACCCTTTCACGATTAAGTTTTAATGCTTGAATTGGAAAAATAGGAGTAACATTGGGTGTTTCTAAAACCAAGGGGGGAATTATCTTTTTGCGATAGATTAGGGGTAAAAAAGTATTCAGCTTAACGACTCGAAGCGTGGACAAGTGAGTCCTCCCAAGAATTAAGGTCTCATTTGGATTGAGGGATTCTAAATGAATGATTTTGTTAAATCCATAGATTTGGTAAAATACTTCGTTTGGTTTTAAAAAAAAAAAAAAAAAAAAAAAAAAGAGAAAAAAAAAGTAGAACCGTGGAAAAGTGAGTCCTCCCAAGAATTAAGGTCTTGTTTGGATTGAGGGATTCTAAATGAATGATTTCATTAAATCCATGAATTTGGTAAAATAATTCGTTTGGTTTAAAAGAAAAAAAAAAGTTGAAATCCATAGATTTTGGAAAATCCACCACCCTCCAGAATCCTTCAATTTTTAGGGTCTTAGAATCCTACCTAGTAGGTGAGATTTTGCCAAATACATCGGTTTTAATAAAATGAGCATTTTTGTTAATATTTTAATTTTTCAATACTATCCTTGTTAATAGTTTAATATTTCAGTAACTACCCTTTATCTTAATTAAAAGAAATATATTTATCGTTCTCTCTTTTTGAACTCTTCACCTTTACATCATCAGCATCTTTAGAGCATATTAGAGAAATAATTTATCTATGAGTTTCCATTCTTTTAATTAATTATTTTCAATTTCTTATTACAAAAAGTTTTTTTTTTTTTATTATTTCAATTTCTCATGGTGATTCTTTTTGTTATCTAGTTAAGAACTTATTAGTGGTGGCTTTTTTTTCATGAAATATTAAATCAACAACGTTATTTCAAATAGCCCTCAAGCTTATAAAATTATCTCATTCGAGTATCTTCTAACGTACTATAAGAACAAATGTGTATAATGTGTGAGGCTATCTTATGATTCTATTTTTCTTATCTCTCTCAATTGTACCAAGCTTGTAATATAAGATCCTCTCATATTTTATTATACTTTTCTTATTAAAAGGTTTTANTTGATGGTGTCACCAAGACCCATAGCATCTAAGTGAATTTCAGCATCAAGAATCCATGACAAATAATTCTTGCCCATAATATCAAGAGCCACAAATTCAAGTTTGTAAGATTTGTCATGATGAAAACTATAAAAGAATATTTAATAAATTAGACAATCTCTAATCAAATGAAAATATTATCACAAATAAGAATTTAGAATAACAATAATGAATATACAATTTATTATAGTTATAGAATTTAATCATTTAAAAACATAAATCATAAAAGCAAATATTTACAAATATATGTGTCTTTTTTTATTAATCAAATTATAAATCTATCACTATATAAAGTCTTGTTTATAATGAAACCAAAATGTTCCAGATTAAAACACTTTCATATATTTTATACTATAAAAATGATTAAACATTCCAACATATTTATAAAACATAGTGAGATACAAGCAAAATTGAATTTACTTACTTGGTAAATGGAAAACTCCAACTCCAAATTTGATTAGGGACAAAAGCTTGAAACTTGATGAGAATCTTTTTCCCTTGACAAGTTGATATGGTTAGAGACTAGTACTAATAACTTATTATAAAATAAACTAAAAGAATAGCGAAGATAATTGAGGGGAAATAGAACCAATAGTTTTCTATTCTAAAGTTGCGTGTACATCATCTTTCACAATACTTCTATTTATAGTTTCGAGATTAAACCTGACAAATGGGTAAGAGGGATAGCTACGGGTAATGGGTAAAACGGGCACGGGTCCACGGGTAAAATTTTTTATGGGTAAGGAAATGTTAGACCCGTACCCACCCATATGGCTACGAGTCGACCTGCAGGTCACCTATTTCCCACATATTTTCACATTTTATTTTATTTTTTTCAAATAAAAGTAACTCATCTCCATCACTCTCTCTGCACAAGTCCTTCAATCTTCTCTTTTCTCTTCCTCATAAATTTTCATCTTCTCTTTCCTCTTCCCCATAAATTTCTTAAGAAGAGAGAAGATAATTGCGGGGAAATATAAAAGTTGTCCAAATAATTAATTAATAAATTTTCATCTTCTCTTTCCTCTTCCTATATATATATATATATATTTTGACATTTTTATCCAAATAATTAATTAATGAGGTTAAAAAAATCATTCAACAAGTTGGGTTAATATATATATATATATATATATATACATATTGACATTTTTATCCAAATAATTAATTAATGAGGTTAAAGAAATCATTCAATAAGTTGGATTAATTGTTATTTGACCAACAATAGAGCATTTGTGTCCAAAAATTTTATTAAATAAGAATAAAATTAGAATGAAGATAGAATTACTATCCTCAAACTCGGTAATCGCATAACCGCTATATTACCTCTCATATTACTTGAGTAATCTTTTATTACTAGCTGAATTAAACAAGAAGATAATGACAGAATTAAAAGATAGATTACCACAATAATCTTCTTATAACTCTAACCATAGGCAATATGTCATATTTTAGGTTTACAATGAATTTATTTGGTTCGGCATTATTTGATCAAAATCAAGCTCAGTAAGGTTGCGGGGTGAGTTATTGCCCTTAGATCATGGAGTCGACATCCAAGGGCTGGCATTGGAGGCCGAATCCCCATTATTTGGTTTGCTTAAATCTGATGGTCTATCTCAAAAATGCTCTGGAACCAGAAGGAACATAATATAAAAGATGAACACAATAAGAGAGTTCAATTTTATTTATGTAAGCATAACATACAAACTGAAGAAACAAATTCAAATGCAATACATCACTGACATTCGCACATTATCTATAGTATACAGATACATATGGCATAAATAGCCTTTATTATAAAACACTCATAACACACCAACTTATTTAGCATAGTCTAACTGGTGACAAATTACTGTTGAGCCTGCAAGGAAGAGAAACTTAGCTTTCAATCTAACAAAATCAGATTATAAAGGTTAAGGCGTGGGCTGGTCTAAGGATAGTACCTGGAAGCGCTTCTTGTAAAATTCCACCAGCTCTTTTGGATCTGTTTTTGTCTGCTTGAAGGCATCAATCTTGTTCAGCTCCTGCATAAGGATATTTTTTTTTTAAATAAATGATTATAACTATCTTAAAATATAGTAATCTCTTCCTGCACAATTGGGAAAGAACGTAAAAGGGCTTTCCAACATACCTCGATCCATGATGCTAGTTTTGGCCTACCCTCTGTAATGTCATACTTGTATACTTCTGATAAGAAGATCTGGAACCTTTCAACAAATGGAATATAGGCTATGTCCGCCTGACGATCACATAAATCCATTTGTAAAACAGAATGATACTCAAATCGTAATTATCATAATAAACAATTTCAAAAAAAACTTCTATGCGTACTCATCAAGCTAAAATTAATTTGGTAGTTAACACATACCAAACTAAATGACCAAGGAAGAATGGCCATCATTCGCCAAATTTCTTAAGGCATTTTCAAAAGTAACCGAAAGAGGCCACCTGTTTCCAGTTTCGAAATTATTTAGTGCAGTTTATATACACAACCCCAAACCATGGAAACATACGACCATTTCAAACTACCAGCTTGTTTTACAGGTCTCCTTTGAATGAAGTATACACATCCTGTTGAAGGTTAGCAGTGTCTAGGATAAACAATTCTTCACCAAACTTCTTTTTTCAGGATCATACAAATTTTCATAACAATTACTTCAGCTTAAAGTTAGAGATACTAAGGTTTCTATTAAGAGCAGCAAGAAATATGAACATCTTATAAAAATATTTTAAAAAAGGATGACACAACTTAAATCAGGGAAAAGAGCAGGTCCTTCAAAGTTGCTGTAACATATTTAATCAAGTCAATACTCTCTCCAATGATTTTGCCGTTTGTCCCAGTGCTGGAACCTATAGAATAAGAACTTTAAAGTTTAAACGGTATAATATTCAATAGTCCTAACAATTACCTCAGTATATCATAAAGCTTAAAACATACCACTCAATTTAAACTAATTTTTTTTTTTTCCTTGTAACCAAGAAATTCCAACTCAATACAAAGAGACCATTTTTCATGACTATGTAAATCAAAGCATAGCAATAAGATTCTGCCTCCTCTTTTAAGTATTGGACCTTGTCATCGCATCTGATTCAGGGATTTCTTCACACAGATTATAAACATTTGAAATACAGCCATACACAAACACAAATTACCCTTCTCTTTTTTAACCACTTTGCTCACTCAGAAACTCTAAACTTCCAACTATTGTTCAAAACCCTCCCATTTTTGTCATGAGAACTTCTTGGAAAATTATTCTTACTAACAAACTCCAAATCATAACTCATGCCAAGCAATTCCATATAAACAAACTATATCAGTCATGGACTTAGCCGATTCATTAACTTTACTAAAGCTAACAATTTCATTCCTACATAAAGATACCTTTTGTAGTATTAAGTTCATCACTATTATGACCGAGCCTCATACCAACAAAAAAGAATTTGATGTTATATTCCCAACAAGCGGGAGGATACTAGTACAAGCTTGCTCATTTCTTGAAAATGATTTAAAATTCTATTTATCCCATATTTTATGCTTCACAATCGTTGTTATGCACGTGTGAAAACTATCAAACATCGCAAGTATAATTTCCTTCAAAAACAAATGAACAGAACATATTCATGAATCATGTCTGTTGAATCATGGAGACTCCGTACTACTTATCAGCATCATTTATCTAAATACACGAGAAATTAGATAAAAATAGAAATCTATCAAATCCACAATAAAAGACAAAAATGTTTTCATAAACAAATCACCTTGTTAACATGGTAAACTTTCTCTGCATACCAAGCAGGCCTGTCTTGAAGGTTTAATGGAACTAACTTAATCTTGTCTTGTAATCCCTGCCTCCCGACAGCCCAACAGATTCCAAAGAAATCAGTGAGAGATAATTAATAAAATCAAACAAATATTTCTAGACAAGAAAAACAAGACAAATAGATCATTAAAAAGTCAAAAATAATTAAATAACCTTATAGTTTCTGGTGATCCACACTCGTTGAGCAAATGGACACGTGTAACAAGTATACAGCCTTAACAAATAAAAGACAACACATGTAAATCAAGTTAAAAAATAAAAAATTGAATCCCGAATGGCAAAAAAAGAAACTCAAAAATAAAAAAATGTAAAACCTGATAGTTCCATCAAAGAGAGGTGGCTGCTCGGCCTTAGAGTCCAGAACTGGAGGAAGATTTTCTTGCACACTATCAATAAGAAAAGAAGATCATAATTTCATCATAATAGCGATCAGAATTGCGAGATTAAAGAGAAACAATGACGTAAAAATGAAGATAAGATATGAGAAATTCTTACGCGGTAGCCATTTTGGTTAAGTCTCTTGACTGTTCGGAAGCTTTCGAGTTTTTAGAGCTAATTTGATACTGAAAGAGGTCTATGTGCATAATGAGCTATGTGCGCGGGGGTTTATATAGGAGATTTTTAAGTAAAGTTAGATCCTGTGAAATCGCGAGCAGTGACGTATCATGTACTTAACTTTACCGATTACCATGCATGGATTAATCTAGAATAAAAAATTAAAAAATTAAAATTAAATAGGTCAAGTCAAAGAAAAAGATTCGTCGGTCGTTGATCCTTTATCATATGTAAGTGTATTCGTCAGCGATGACTGTTGAGGATGTGTTATAACCCAGCAAATTAATTTAAAAAAAAAAAAAAAAAAAAGCTGTTGGGTTAAAATGATAATACGCTAGGGTCCATTTGTTTTATTATTTCAAACCTTATTCCATATCCTATTTCCAAAATACCTGGTTATTTAATTATTTGGGAAATACTATTCTATTTTTTCAATTACTTTTAAACATCTTAAGTTTATTAACTTAATTAAACACCCCTAGAAAAAAAGTTTAAAAATTAATAAAAATAACCCCACCCACCCATAGTTACCAGATTCCAATAACCATCATCGGTGATGGTCAGAATCTATCACAACAGTCTAAACAGATCGGAACTAGCCGTTTATTCACCAATCTGGCTGTCAGCGATGGCCAAAGAAATGGTCGTCGTTGACGGTCAACGACGACCAACTCTTGGCTATCTCTGACGGCTAGATCTGGCCTTTTGCAACTGTCAATAGCCAGAGATCCAACCGTAGATCTGGCCTTTTCTGACCAGTCCGTGGTGAGTGGGGGTGTTTTCGTTATTTTATAAAAAATTTATATATTTGGGTGTTTAGTTATATTAGCAAACCTAGGGTTTTTTTTTTTTTTTTTTTTTTTGTTAAATTTTAAATTTTACCTCGTAATACTCACCATATTCAACTACCCAATATTATTCTCAAAATCCTATCCAAAATAACAAAACAAACGCACCCCTAATCACGCAAAGATTGATATTATATAGAGCTATATCATTTGATAATATATTTTTTAATTTGCTAATAAATTCATGTATTGATATCATCTTTTCCATTAATTATTATTAGCATCAAATTATGTATTGCCAAAATAACATCGGTTGTGTTAGTTTCATTATAATATTGTTCAAAATACTATTCTATTCAATTTTATTCAAAATACATATTTGTTTCAATATTCTCAAAATTCAATCTTATTCAACTCAAAATATTTAGTTTTTTAACCATTTAGATTTGTTAATTTAACTAAACATCCCCAACAATAAAAGTTTATGAATTAACAAAAACACCCCCATCAAACCTCATATTCCCTACAGCCAGCCACCACTATTGAAAGGTGACCGCAATCTGCCAGAATGATGCATAACTGGCTGGATGTGGCCGATTGTACACCGATCTGACCTTTTTCGGCCAGATCCACGACTAGATCTACCATTGATCTACTCGTTGACGACCAGATCTGACCGTTTCCAGTTAAATCCACAATGGATCTGACCGAAAAAGGTCAGGTCGACGCACTATCGGCTAGATCCAATCGATCGTGTGCCATTCCAACAACTTTCGACCACCATCCGATAGTGGTGGCTAACTGCTGACATTTAATGGGTGAGTAAGGGTGTTTTTGTTAATTTTAAAACTTCTATTGTAAGGAGTGTTTAGCTAAATTAACAAATGTAAGAGATTAAAATTTAAAAAATAATCTAAATATTTTCATAAAATATTTTCCAAAAATTTGCCAAACACATTTTTCAAATTCAAATCTTATTTTCATAATAACAACTAAACTCAACTTCTTCAAAAATAATGCTACTCTACCAAAAATAGTCCTCCATTTTTTATTTTTTTTAACGTATGGATCCTTTTGCTTGCTTTGACCAAAAGCTAACTAGCAGAAGTGATTAAATTAATGGTTTATTCCATTCTCGCCATGAATCCAAACTGTAAACGTTATTATAATTCGGTCGTGACAAACTTTCATTGGACACGAGGGTAAGATGTTAAACCCTGAAAATTAATTGGTTAGAGTTGGAAGTCGAAAATTACACGAGGGCAAGATGTGAAAGGGCAATTTTTTCAATTCATCTCATATATATAACATCACAGAGACAGAAAACCTAATATAACAGCATTAATTGACAATATTACCCTTTCACGATTAAGTTTTAATGCTTGAAGTAGAAAAAATAGGAGTAACATGGGTGTTTCCAAAACCAAGGGGGGAAACTGTCTTTTTGCGATAGATTAGGGGTAAAAAGGTATGCACTTTAATGACTAGAAGCACAGACAAGTGAGTCTTCCCAAGAATTAAGAGACGAGTAATATCATACACACAACATTTTCTCACAAACTTTATCTCACAACCCGACGTTATAATTGACTGAGACCTATTACGAGCTGACTAATTACAAACTGTCACATCGGGTTGTAAGAAAAAATTTATGAGAAAAGGTTGTGGGTATAACATTTTTCATTAAGAGTAACCATCGTCTATAGAAGATGCCAATGTTAAACTAATTGACAGACCGCCAATCTACAGAAAACTCTTTAAGACATGAAATGGAAAATCTTGTTGCCGACAGCATGAAAGAATTAATCAAAACAACTCTCTACTTTGTGCTTGACATTTCTCTAATTGCTTTTGTTGCACATAATATGCTATGTTTTGCCACTCTTCATCTAAAAATAAAGATATTGCACAAGGCATACATATATGGCAGATTTTTCATTTATTTACATGCGTATTATATTGGTATCTTACAATTTAAAGTGACAA